ATTGAAAGTTCAAGATTTGGAGTCAGACAGCTGGGACCACTTACTAGTTCTAGGAAGTTATTATACTTAACCCCTCTAGGCCTTCAGTGTTCACATCTGTAAATGTAGTAAATTATATATGCCTTGCAGGAGTGCACAGAGGTTAAATTAAACAATATGTAAACTGCTTAACCCAGAAACTGACACTGGGATGATATGCAGAAAGGTGTTCTGACAAAAGCAATAGCAGAATTAATGTTTTGAATAGCTGTTTGCCTACTAAGGTTTTAACCTTTTTATTCATAGTAACTCATTTAATTGCCATGGTAAACCTTAAGTACTTTTATTATTCCCATTGTCGCAGCCTAAATTATAGTTTCCCTCAAAATTCATATGTTGAAGTCATCCGAAGCCTCAAAATGTGACTGTATGTGAGAAAGAGTCTTTAAAGAGGTAATTTACCTGGACCAGCAGGTGATGCGGAGGTTAAGGTGGCTGGATTCACAACTGAGTTCACGGTTTGAGTTCCATACCCAGTGGCTTGAAAATCATGCTGGGTACATGTGCATGTGTGCCCAAAATCCTGAGAAGAGGATGGAGAAGAGATTGTGGCATGGCCATCCCCCCGCCCTGGGGGATGATCTCTTTCTCTGTCTCTCACCCATCCTGGTCAATGTGAACACACAACATATAGCAAATAAACAAACAAAAAAGAGGTAATTAAAGTGAGGATGTCCCTATAAAATGAAAAGATTAGGATGCAGACATACACAGGAGAAGACCATTGGGGACACACAAGTCAGAGAGGCCCTGTTGATACCTTGACCTCAGGCTTCTAGACTCCAGAATTACAGGAATTTCTGCAGTTTAAGCCAGGCTACAGCACTTGCTTATGGCAACCCTTGCACATAAACACAGCTATTTACGTAAGTGAATTGCCCAAGCCCACAGAACTACTAGTTTCCAGAATAGGCTTCAAGTTCAAACATGGACTGGAATCTGGCTTCCTAACCATAGTCAGAGTCATGTTCTGTTTAACGGACAAAAAAATGGAAAATTACCTGCTGATGACGACGGGTGTGATCATTTCTTTGACTGGACTAACAGGGTATTCATGCTGGGAAAACTCATTCTCAATGTCGTAAAGACATACCAGGGTTGAATATAAAAAATGAATAAGAATATAAAATTTAAAAAATCCTGATTAGTTTACACTTCATATGGTTCAAAGATATTGTCTATAAAATAGGGAATTTGAATATAAATATTTTTAAATTACAGAAAAAAGAGAATAGGTGGTTTGGAGAACAAAACTGCATCAGAAAAGATGTAGAGATACAAAGGAAAAGAGAAAAAAACAGTATTTTCCAGACCTCAGTTGATCTTTAAAAATACTTGTGTTGCTGAGGCTCTGTGAGGAGAATACATGGTCTGAAGGGAAAAATAGAAACATTTTCTCTTACAGTTCTGTACGTAAGAAACTCAACACAGCTCTCACCTGCTGGCAGGGCTTTCTCTGCTCCAGGAGAAAATCAATTTCCTTGCCTTACAGGTCCCTTCCTCTCCCTTCAAAGCCAGCAGACTTCACTCTCTCCAACTCTACTTCCAAACTACAGACACAGCTGGGAAAAGTTCTCTACCTGAAGGGACCTATGTGAATACATTGGGCACACCTGGCTACTCCAGGCTACTCTCCCTTTCCCAAGGTCAATTGATAAGCTTCCTTCATTTTATCCCCAACCTTAGTCCCTATTTATCACCTAATAGGGACATATGCACAGGCTCTGAAGACATTCCACTAGAGGGCACTCACATATTCCTGAATATAAACATTACATTTCAGATGATGAGGAGAAAGATACAGTGGAACACTCTATCATCAAATACAAGAAAATTCAATATACAAGTATCTCATACTGGAGTCTCGCAAAGGTTATGGAGTATAGGAAAATATACAGGGTAGACTGAATTTCTCATCTTAAATGGCCTGAACATAAAGCGAAATAGGATTTGAGGTGTGGTAGAAGTTCTACAGTCTATACCAAGGTTCGAAATCACGTTTAAAAATTTATTATATATTTTAAAGAACAAAGCATGTGCTCTCTTATAGGGGTTTTAAAGAAATAGTTCCTCAACTGGGTAGATGCAGGAATCATTATTTTTGTCAGGATGAGAGGATGAGGGATGCCCAGATTTATTCAGCACTGTCTCAAAGAAGGGAGAGGAAGACAGAAATCAAAGTACAGGGAAAAAGAGGCAGGGATGGGGTGGCAGGTAATGAAATGCATTACATTAAAATGCAAAAGATCAAGGAAGATGTTTCAAAGCTCTGGCCATCTAGAAGACTCTGTTCTTTACCTGGGCACTTTGTTCGGAACACAGGAGCCTGCCCTGCATTGCAGAAGTGGAGTAGAGTAAGTTCCCCAAGCTCTGGAATGTGGTAGCTTTGGATAGAAGAGACTAGGGGGATGTTGTAAGAAGAAAAGGTGGGAAAAGTAAAGCAACTGGCTCCTAATGTAAAGGTAATGTGTTGTCTTAGGTTAACGGCATCATTTTAATGCCTTGATTGATGCAGAGTGGGAACACAGGAGACCAGAGAAGGTCACTTAGTCAAAGAGATAAGGCAAAGAGAAGCCATGTGTCTGAAGAGAGTGATTTCACTGGTAAAAGGATGGGAATATACAATCAGCCCCCTCCTAAATCTTGGATTGATCTGATATGAAAGTGATTGAGGGGCCAGTCAGGGGAGCAGGGCTAACACAATACTCTTTGAGGCTAACACACATAGGAAGGTTCTGGGTTCTCATCTGGAGACATCCCTGAAAGTGCCAGACACACCCATGATTTGGAGCTTCTAAAGATGGCAGTGTATCATGGCATGAAAACCCTGTTGGGAATACCTGTTTCTTTGTCTCTGTCCCTCTGTCTCTCTCTTTCTCTCATGAAAGAAAGAAGTAATTAAAAAAAAAAAAGAAAAGTGCTTGAGAAAACTGATTAATACTTTGAAGTATAACTATCCATATCTATAACATGGGAATTACTATAGAATGAGAGAAAATTTGATATCCAACTGTGAGTGAGCTTAGCTTTGTGGATATGATAAATTGTGAAACATTTTTGAAGACAAAATTTTGGATGGTGAGATTTACTAGGTAAAAAGAAATTATCTACTTGAGCTGTGGTTTCGAGGACAAAAACTGCTTTTCTTCCCTAAAGTACACCCAGACCCACAGCTAGGGTGTGGAGGATCTGCCAGGAAAATACATATACCTATGTCTGAAGCAGAGTTGGGCTTGCTACTCATACTCTTTTCCAGAAAGAAATGATACAGAAATACAAAAAGAGAGGGCACCGCTCCTTAGGTTAAGAGCTAATGTCATGATAGTAAACACTCCTCCCTCACTCTTAGACCTTACACTCCCACCATGAAGGGTGTTAGAGCCTGAAAAATCACCACCAAGGTTTGAGCGTAGCCCTGAAAACTGAGATGAGGGCCCATTTCTTGTCTGAAGATAAGCATGATTGGGAAACATGGAAGGCTCTTCAAAGCCCTCACTATGGTTGGAAACAATCATATAAGGGCATTCT